GGCTCATCAGGCGGTTCATATTCCAGGTCAAAAAGAAGGTATAAGTTATTAAACACAGACAACTTACCAAAGATGGCGGAGACCATTTGAGACACCCGGCTCTTTAAACCGGTAAGCTCGGTGGTAACCTCCTCAAGAGCTGATTCAGCTTTTTCAGCATGTTGGATTAGCAGTGTCTTTTCTTCAGCCCAGGATTTCTTCTTGGCCGTCAAACTGGTCTTCAATTTCTCTGTCTCAGAAAGACTCAGTTGGAGTTTAGTGTTAGCAGTTTTGATCTCTGTCTCTTGTTCCGCCAGCCGGGTCTTTGCTTCAGTTAATTGAGAGCCCAATTCAGATAGGGCGTTCTGCAAAATGTATACAGGTGTGTCAAAGCTTAAACTTAAGATTCAAGTCTCAAGTAATATGCACTGCTAGACCACTTGACACTTGGGGGCTAATGTCTGCCAAAACAATTTTTTACGACTCTGATATATTTCAAGTCCCAAGTGCCTTACAAAGTAACAACACTTGGCACTTGGGGGCTAATGTATGATATTCAGAAAGTTATTCAATATTAAGCCAGATTACAATGCTTATTGGGACAATTCTGAAGTTAAGTACCGGTTCATTTTGATCCATTGAGCCGGCCCTTGGGGACTATAGTTGAAGTTTATACTATTTTATTGGACTTCAGAAAAATCTAAGGGTAAAGCTTTAGCCTATATCATAAGTCTACATATCATTCAGGTTGTATCATAATCTAAAGACTTGGGGGCTGGCACAATATAAGTAAGCCGGAAGAGCATACCTCATACTTCAGCTGCAATTGCTTCATCATCTCGATTTCCGAGTCACGGCTGGAGAGCGCATGGCTGAGATAGCCGGGCAATATGTCATTGGCGTTCAGATGGTTGTAGTGAGAAACATCAAAACAAACTTTCTGTCTCTCCAGGGCCTCTTGTTTAGCGGTGTGACGAGCCAACACGGTGGGAGTCCACGGCTCAACAAAACGGCTTCCAGTGATCAGAACGTCATGGGCAGACGATGATGGCGAGTTGGCCGAGCTGGACGGTCCGGTAGTAGAGGGGTTAATGATGGTATCGTCAGCTGACGGCTCAGGAGGATCTAATTGAGCATTGGCAGCCGGGTCTTCTGGTGTTTCAGTTTGAGGGGGAGAAGGTGGCATGGCCGGTTCAGGCGCAAGGACTGACGGGTCTTCCGCCGGCTTAGTCACCTTGGCCTTCTTGGACTTAGCTTGGCCACTAAGAAAGATGTTATGAGACTGTCAATATAAAGTTGCAGTTTAAGAAACACGGAGGAAAGATGATTGTTTCCTTACCCATGGGTAGTTTTGAAGGCCGGAAATTGTGTTTGAGAGGAGTCACCAGAAGAGCGAGAAACCTCCTTCAAAGGGCAAATAACGTCAGTAGCACAAGAGAATATATTCATTAATGAAAGCTGAAGAGGAATATATAAAGAGACCTCATTTTGGCGTTTTTTAGGAGTTTGTTGTACAATAGGAGGCGGCTCATCATCGTTCCGGGCTTGACGACGGCTCTCGTGTTGCTGCCTTTTCAAAAGAAAATGAGGGTCCAAATAAGCCAAAGGGTGCGAAAACCTTACTTTCCGGGTTACCCGTCGAAGTTTCTGTCTCGGCAATTGGTCTGAGTCGGAGGAAATAATTACCTCTTCTTCTCCGGCCTGGCTGGACCCCGTGTCGTCCTAGCAATAATCAGTGTCAATAAGGTTATTAAAAAACTAGCCAAGGGAGTCAAGGACTACCTCCGACTCAGAAGTATCATCGCCAAGCTTTAACATGTCCTCAACGGTGGTCTTCTTCTTCTTCGACCTCCGGGTCGTTTTCTTGGCAGCCATGGCGGCGGCTCTAGCCTTCTTGGAGGCTTCGTGGTCATACTTGGCTTTTCAGAAATCAGATTTGGCCTGTAAACAAATAAACAAGATGAAAGGTCATGCAGGTATTTAAAACGGCTGATAAAAATACAAAGAGAGAGGTCAGAGGTTCTTTACCTCTGGCGCCGGGTTAAGTTTGCAGAACGGGTTTAACCCGACTTTACTGCAGTCTTCATACTTGTCGTTCACCAGAAGAGTTGACATTGAAACAATATCTTCTTCAGTAAGTTGAACGGAGCTGTGACGAAGAGAGTCATTTGGGCCACCACCATATTCATACATCAATTTCGATCGGTGGCTTAGAGGGATGACCCGCCATGAGACCCAGCAACGGGTCAAGTCAACTCCGGTTAAGCCGTTCCCCAATAAGGCATTAATCCTTTTGATTGATGGCATAAGCTTCTTGCGTTCGGCGGCAGTGAGTTTGTCAGGGAGTGCAAACTTGGAGTCAAGACGCTCTGCGCGATAACCCGGCAGTGGCTTCTCATTTGCTGGTGAAGTGTCTTGACAATAGAACCAAGTCTGATTCCAGTCTTTGGGATGACTCGACAAGACTATTAGAGGGAAGACGGCGCCCTGCCGATGCTGAATTGAGATGCCTCCAAGTTCCAAGCTAGGGCCATTGGCACACTCGTTCTGGCGGTTCAGATAAAAATACTCTCTAAAGAGTTCCACAGTTGGTTCTTCTTGAAGGTACACCTCACAGAGAACTTGGAAATTGTAGATATTGGATATGGAGTTGGGCCCAAGATCTTGAGGGTGGAGTTTGAAAAAATGGAGGACATCTCTGAAGAACTTTGAGCCGGGCAGTGAAAAGCCACGGTTCATGTGGTCAGAAAAGACAATGACTTCACCATCTTTTGGATTGGGCCGTTCCTCGTCCGGGTCAGGTGCACGGTAAGACATAACATTCTTCCCTGGCAAAAATCCTATGGAGAAGAAGTCCTTCAAATTATCCTCAGTCATTGTTGAGGGAACCCAGTTGCAGACAGTCGGTGCTTTGGACGGCATGATGTTCAAAAGACGAACTGAAAAGAAAGCAACATGCCGGTTCAATTCAATGATAATGGTGAAATTAAGTGATGATCGTACAGGGGAGTAATGGCGGCTTAAGTAAGGGCTAATGTCATATAAGGAAAAGTAAGCCTGCGCAATAAGCCGCCATGACTACAGATATTTGAGAAAGCAGATTCGGCTAAGTGTTGAGACAAACAAGTTTCCTAATTGCTTGATATTATTCCAGGTCAAATGGCTATTCAAAATGGAAAAAACTCTAGACCTAAAAGTTTAGCGCAGATGAGTTTGTGAGTCCTAATGAGGCCTTTATACTAGGAAAAGGGATCTACTAGTATCAAGAGTAGGCACAAAACAACTACCGCACAAGCATATATCTCTTTTTGGATCAAGAAGAGGCTGCAGGGGAAGAACTACGATGAAACTGCGATGAACTACGAAGAACATGCAGAAACCTAGAAAGCCCTAATGCAGATCTGAGGAGCAAGAAGGGAAACACTTACAACCACGGATCTTCCGCGGAGAGTCGCCGCCGTTCTCTCGACTGATTTCGGTCGATGCAGCGGCCAAAGTCGACGGAGGTGAGATGCTCTCTGACGGCGGCGGAGCTCGAGCAGGAGCGGGGGTTGCGAGAGGAAGAAGACGAAGAAGAGAGAAGAATGAGAAAGACCGGGGCATGCCTATTTATAAGGGGATAAGCGAACAGGCTGGCGCGAAAATCGAGAAAGACCCGAATAATGATTATCCAACTAAACGGACGCCTGATTCTCGGAAGGCATTAAAGAATAAAGATCCGTTGAGAGATGACGTCATAAAAGTTTTTCGTGTTTTCAAGAAATGACGTCATGGCGGGTTACAAAAATTTCTGCGAAGAAAGGAAGATGGATTTTGCCTGAGTATTGAAGATTGACAAAAAACAAAGTTCAAAGTCAACCTGGAACCTAATGTTGGGGATATAGCTACCAGGTATGACCCGCCCAGGAGGGGCCGGGTCAGCCCCAATGGCGGGTCACAAAGAAAGCCCAGTAAACATTCAAGGTGATAGTTTATTAAGGCTTATAGAAGACCTAAGCCCAGAGGCGGCTTAAGGCCCAATATTGTAAACCCCGTATGTAAGGAAAGATTTGTAAGGAAATGCATATAAAAGAAGTCACCGAGCCGGACACGCTTTACGAGCCGGCCGGGACTCCGTAGGCCGTCAGGCGTCAACCCGTGTATATAAGGGGACGACCCAGTGGCGGCTTAGGGCAAGAAACAAGAGATCGAGAGCCAAGCTAGCGGATTCGCTCCTTAGTCATCGAAACCTAGCAATACAACATCAACTGGACTAGGCCTTACCTTCACCGTAAGGGGCCGAACCAGTATAAACCTCTCGTGTCCTTTGTCCCGCTTAACCCCTTTAAACTTCCTAGTTACGATGGCCCTACGACTAAGTCCTTTTGCTAGGACATCTGCCGTGACAATTCCACGACACCACTGCACCTCAAGAGCAGACGCGCATCGACTACCAGCCGCCGGCCGCCGGCCACCGCCCAATGCCGGAAGCCGACCAACCATGTGCTGCCTGCCGGCCGCACGGGTACTGGAAGCAGCTGGACTGCACCACCGGCCTCTGTGAGGCATGCCGTGTCTAAGCCCGCGTTCGTCGTCTTGAAGGAGCACTGGCGTCCATGGCTACCGCCCCCTCGAGCGGATCTCAGGACACCGCCGGTGCCACCACAGCAATAGTCCCTACAACATGATCTTTGTTGCATTTTTTTTTTCCGCAACATGATCTTTGCTGGAATACAAACATTTTTGCAACATGATCTTTACTGTAAAAATAAATAAATCTATAAACGTTTCTAAAACATAATGTTTGCTGCAATTTTTTTGCAACACAACTTGTTACAAATATTTCTACCACACAATTTCTATTACAAAAGGTTTCATAACAAGATTTTTGTTGCAAAAGTAAACAACGAAGCATGGCCGCAAGATTATTCAAGCGACGGATCTTTCGTCGGCCACGCGTAACACGCCCCATAATAAACAATCTAAATTCTAAAGACATCGCGCCATAGGTGTACACAACATAATAAACGCCAGCGTTGCAATCACTGCTCTGCTTTCTTCACCATCCCAAAGTCCGGCGACATGAACTCCGTGACCTTCCTCGCCGCCGGCCTGGCCTTCAGCTCCTCCCACCACGCCTTGACATGCGGGCGCTCCTCGACCAGCGACGCGTACTCCGTCTCCATGAAGTAGTGCATGAGCGGGAAGTGGCTGAGGTCGGCGAGGCTGACCGACTCCCCGGCGAGGTACTTGGACGCCGACAGCCGCGCCTCGTACACCTCCAGCACCTTCCTCAGCTTGACGACGTTCTCGTCGACGATGGCCTGATCGCGCGTGCCGCCGAGGAACGGGACGAGGAGGCACTGGATCGAGATGGCACCAGCCGAGGGATTGTACTGGTGGGCCTCCACCTCCAGCCACACGTCCACCATCGCCGCCGACTCCGGCGAGCCGTCGCCCACCAGCAGCTCCGGCTGGTACTTGCGAAGCACGTGCCTCGCGATTGCGCGCGATTCTGCGTGAGAATTTCCGATCACTATTGCAGGCTCTCCTTGACGATCTGTGGTGTAAACAGAGGAGATAGTGATGGGAATTACCGAAGAGGGTGAGGTCGCCGTCCTCGAGAACGGGGACCTGGCCGAAGGGGTTCCTGGCGAGGAAGTCCGGCAGGAGGTGGTCGCCGGCCTCACGTTTCATGGGGATGAGCTCGTAGTCGACGCCTGCTTCCTCCAGGCAGATCAGCGCGCGTGCCACGAACGGTGAGACCGCCCATCCGTAGACCTTCAGCGCCGGCGCCATCGTCTGTCGAGATAGCTCGCGTCCGCTTCTTGGAGTTGACTGCGATACATAGATGAGTTCATGATTAAATAGGCTCGAACGTGGTACGTGTGTTCGTACCGTCACTGCTTGCGTCCAAAGTAGAGTGTCGACATAGTCCCAATCCACTGCCTTAGCGTACACTAATTGTCACTTCAAATGGTCGATGCAAATGCATATTACTCCCTCCATTCGGAATTACTTGTCTTGAATTTGGATATATCTAGAACTAAAATACATCTAAATACATCTATTTCTGCGACAAGTAATTTCGAACAAAGAAAGTATTTTCTAGGAAGAAGGTTATCGCTTGATCTTAAAGTGAAGCCCTCTACTACTTAAAAAGAAGTAAGGTTCTCATTCCATATTTTTTTCTCACCACCCCTTCATCCAATCTTCCATGTATATGATAATCAATCATCTTATTTTACCTACTTTCTGAGCCAATTTCACTTTAATTTATTTACCAAACTTCCGATCAAAATATAGAAGAATTCATGTGCAGAATTTGATGAACATTTATTTGCACAATCGCGTTATTATTATTATTATTATTGCTAGGAACAATCGCATTATTATTGACAGGTAAATCATAAGTTAACATACTAAAATATTTATATCCCGTTGCAACGCACGAGCATTGTTCTAGTACAAGTATAAAGAGGGCAAGGACTAGAAACATGCGATGCAAAAGAGCTCCTGTTGGTCACTCGAACAGAAATCCCGACGCATAGGGCAGCCCAACTAGGTTGCCTTCCAATTGGTTATTTTAGCGCCCCCGTTCACTTTTCACTGCAGCGTTCCGATTTAATGTTGCATACCGGTTCACTATTCCCTATAGCGTCCTGGTTCACCTTAAACAATTTTTGAAAGAAAGTGAACATTTTTCCAGAAAATTTAAAGATTTTGCAAATTTGTGAACATTTTATTAAAACGTGAACATTTTTTGACAAAATAAGAAGAATTTATGAAATTTTTGGGTTTTTTTTCCATTTTTCTAAAACGAAAAACATTATTTAAATTCCGTTTTTTCCTGAAAAATGCTTTAATTCGGAAAATGTTTAACATTTTTAAAAATTGTGAACAAATTTTGAATTTAAAAATGTTAAAAGTTTTCAAAATATTTCAAAATTCTGAAATTAAGACATTTTTAGAAAACTAGAACAAATTTGAAACTCTGAGCATATTTTGAAGAAAACGAACAGGTTTTGAAGTTCATAATTTTCATTTTTTTCAAATTTGAAAACATTTTCTGAAAATGAGAATATTTTGAAATTGTGATCTCTTTTTGGAAAAATAGGGTTTTTTGCAAAAAGCAAAAAAGAGAAGAAAATAAAATAAGAAATAGATTAAAAAAACAACAAATAAAAACTGAAGAAAACCATTAAAGAAAACAAAAAGGGAAGAAATAACCGGTTCAAAAGCCTTCTAGATGGTTCCCAAAACCAGTTAGAAACCTTAAGGTTCCAAGCCAGTGGCTCACACACATGTAATACATGCCATGGGCCAGTTTGATGTGGTTCCCTGTGTGAAGCAAAGACATTCTCACCCGCAAAAAAAAAGAAGAAGCAAAGACATTCTAACGCTGAGAGTGTCATATAGGATTCCGTGTGGTACGTGTGTTCGTGTTATCATTGATTGCGTTCAGAGTAGACTGTCGACACATTCCCAACCCACTGCCTTAGCATACACGAGCTGTTACATCAATTGGTCGGTGTCTCTGACAAGAAAGAAGGAAAAGTAGGATCGCTCCAGGCGATCAAGGGAGGCGAGAGGGTTCCCTTGTGTGTCGCCGGTGACGCCGCCGGTTCCCTCTCTCTCTGTCGGCCGCTCCGACGGCGGGAGAGAGGGGGAACCTCGGATTTGTTCGTTAGGTGGGCGTGTGGTAGGGTTAGGATTAAGGGAGACGCTGCCGAGGCCGCTGTGGTGGTGTCGCGTCGGAATAAGTTTCTCGGGCTCTGTTCGTGGTCAGGTGAGGTTTTTGCCTTCGTTTAGGAGCCAGCGGGGTTGGGGATCCCCGGATCTCGTCGAGGTCGCGGGCTATGGTGGCTGGAGGTCCATCGCCACTGGCCGCGTGGGTCCTCAGATGGGCGATGGATGCAGGGAGACGAAGACCTTTCTTCTTCTTTGTTGGTATGATTTGCTACTGTTGTTCTTCTCCTTCCTCTGTGCTGATGCTAGTGGTAGATCTTGCTTTGTTCGGGCGGATGGCCCGGCCGCGGTGCTGGACCGGTCGGATGACTCGAGTTCTCTTCCTTTCGAAAGGGACACTTTTCGCGGTACTCAAAGCCAAAGATGGCGACGGCTGTTGCAGACGTGTTGGATTGATGTTCATGCCCTCTCAACGCTGGTGTTAAGAAAGGAGGAAGCAACATGGCGGCAATTGTATCGTGGTCGAAGATGATGACCTGTTTGCGACTGGTTGCAGATCCTTCTGTTGCAGGGGTCTTCTCTCAAGATTCAGGGATGATGATACATGGCTCCGGAGATCTTCTTGTGTTATGGTTGTTTTAGGGTATTCTACGTGTTCATGGTCCTTTGTGTTTGTGTTTCAGTGTGCTTGTAAGGGTCAGCTACTTTGTACTGATTCATGATATAAATGAAAAAATTCTTAAAAAAAAAAAACATCAATTGGTCGATGCAAATACATATTATATTTTAGGAAGAAGGTGTCGCAAAAAAAAGGCCCGTAGGCTTGAAACACAAGTTTTGATAAAGGGCGCAAGGACCTGAAACATGCGATGCAAGAGAGCTCCACGCTCGAATAGAAATCCCGACGCATAGGGTAGCCCAACTAGGCTGCCTCCCAATTGGTGATTTTAGCGCCCCGTTTCACTTTTCACTGCAGCGTTTCGGTTTAATGTTGCATACCGGTTCACCCTGTAGCATCTTTGTTCACTGTGATCAAATTTGTTTTTTGAAAAAAAAGTAAACAATTTTTCAATTTCTTTTTAAGATTTTCCAAATTTGTGAACATTTTGTTTAAACACAAACATTTTAACATGAATACATTTTTTCAAGTTGTGACTAATTTAGCTACTTTTTTTAAAAGCTAACGATTATTTGAATTCTAAATTTTCTTAAAAAAGGTTTTAATTTCTGCAAAAAATTGTTTTTTTAATTGTGAACAGTTTTGAAACTAAAAATATTTTAAAAGATGTTAACTGTTTCTAAAATATTTGAACATTTTGAAATTATGAAAATTTTATTATAAAACTAGGACAAATTTAAACTCTGAGCATTTTTTTTCAAATTCACAACAATTTTCATGCACCTCTGAGAGCACCGCCGGAGGTCCATGTCATTGGCGATGCTCCGGTGGCTTTTGACCTGTCCTTTTTGCACCATCACAACCACGTGAACGCGTAGATACTTGTGTCGTGTTTAATTTGTTGGTTTGCACACCATAGCACACACGCCCGAGTGCCTCCCCGCTCCGGCATGTCGCTGTCGTCGCCTCTGTTGACGTCGTGGCACGTGGGCCCTGGTTCGACATGTTCATGGGACATCTCCATGTCGAGTCAACGTGCCATGCAAGCGCCCTAGACCCACTGCCATTCACGGTGGCTAGGTGGGTCCTGGGTGGCTATAGCAATTTCTCATGTTATCCTTTTGTTTGCCTTTTTATTAAAAATCTTTTCTTGTTTCTTCCAAAATCATTCAAATTGCTTAAAGTTTGAATAAATCAAATATGAATATTCCTAACCCAAACATAAACATGTTGTATATGAATTTGGGTTAAAATTGTCCTTAGGTTTCAGATTTGCACTTTGTTTCTGGTTTTGAGCACTCGAAAATTCTAGCAATTGCCACTTTTGCAATTAGGTCCCTATACTTTGGCAAAAACATAAGTTCTTCATACCTGTTTAAATTTTGACAAATGTTATATGATTTTTTTACCAGAATCTTGTAAGGATTTTGTTGGTGCACTTTTATTTTTCAAATATGAGCAAATTTTATTTCATGTTTGCCTCGAAGAATTTGTACTAAAGCCCCCACACCTTGTCCATTTTATATCTTTTTCATCCTATATCAAAAACCCATGAATTTTATATTCATTTGGGGATACTCAGTCCATACATTCTAGAAATGCAAATGGATTCTATGATTGTGCACCCAACTCCTTTGTTACGGCATATCTCTCTCAAGGTAATTTTGGTGATTGATGACAACATGTTTGCGGACTAATCTTGTGCTTTGAATAATTCACAGATTCTCCCCTGGCACGAGACGCTTTCTTCCCCTCGGAGTGTATTTCAAGACGGTGTAGCTCTTTCGTTTCTTTCTCGGTGGACTAGTTGCGTAGAGGGCATCGTACTATCAAGAGGGGGTCCGCTGGGGTTTTGCATGGGTGGAATCATCACGTACACATCAGCTTCTCACCCTTCGAGCTTTTTCTGTCCATTGAAGAGATCTCTCCTCTCTTCTTTGTTCTGTCTGGGTCTAAGCGGCAGTACCGCGCACCCAGCGGTAGTACAGCTGAGAAGCCACAAGCGGCAGTACCGCTTCGCAGCGGTAGTACCGCTGTGGCTCCACAGCAATAGTACCGCTGGGGGACTGGCACATCCGCCGTGTCCTCAGCATTTTTGAGAGATCCCTTCTCTCTCGCGCGCGCGCCCCAGCGGTAGTACTGCACTGCCTGTGGTACTATGGCCAAAGGGTCACAAGCGGCAGTACCGCTCCACAGTGGTACTACCGCCCTTGACCCCACTGCCGTAGTACCGCTGGGTAGTCTGGCTCCTACCGCCTCGATTCGAGAGGTCTTTTTCTCGTGTCGGGTTTTGCGGCACTAGTCACGGTTGTAGTGGCGGTAGTACCGTTCCAGGAGCGGTAGTACCGCCCTACCACCGCGGTAGTACCGCTATTGGGGTCCGTTTCCTACTAAGTCTCCTCAGCGCGGCAGTACCGCAGGGTGGCGCGGCAGTACCGTCGCCTGGCGGTAGTACCGCCCCCTCTCAGCGGTAGTACCGCCCTGTGCGGGG